TCCTCCTCCTCCTCCTCCTCCTCCTCCTCCTCCTATTCCTGCTGATAGTTAAGATCATATGGTGTCCAGTCTTTTAGGCCACAAATTAGGTTAGGAAATCTCTACTGTTGTCTTTACACACTCAAGTCATAGCAATTAACATCTAATGCCTTGCAGATGGAAATAATTCGCTGGGCTCATTTTCTCAAGACAGAGAAATTCTTCACATGTTTGTTCAAAAATAGATGCTGTTTGCACATCAGCAGTTCAAAGATAAAAAGTTCCTGGGACTGCAGGCTGGGTCTGGCTTGAACATCAGTTTTAAATCTCTTGGTTTCAAAACAGGGCAGAATTATTCTGCATACATATTCAGGCCATTATGGTTTCTTTCCAATCTGTTTCACTGGGTGATTTTTCAGACAATACATTTAAATAGCCGGGATTTTTTTTCTTTTTCTTGATGCGATGGCGTTTCTCCAACTAGAACTAGAAGACTGAATTGCTTCTGGGCTGGTTGGACACTGTGCCATCTGAAGGAGACCTGATTTTTAAAGCACAGCTTCTCCTTAGTCAACCTGTCTAGGATTGCAACCTTGCTTTTTAAACATGTCTAGTAAAATTTGCACCTAGCACCATCCAATTCTTCTGCCCTTATTTAATAGGACTGCTGTAAATAGATTATTTTTTCCTCCACCCATTTGCATTGTTAGTGCTTAAATAATCACGTTATCCCTGATATTTTCGATCAAACTCCTTAAGCCTGAACATAATTTGTCAGCAACTCTGTGGATTTTCTTCTCCTGCCATGGAGAGAAATTGCACAGAACAGATTATGGGATTAGCTCCAGCTCCATTTTCTAACCTTTGAGAGCAGATACCTCTAGCAGTGAGCTGAGATTCCTTTATACGTGAGGAAAAAAGTCTCGTGGTTGGAAACAGGAGCAGATAAATTGTGTTCCTGTTCGGTTCACTGCTAAGCCTCATAACCAAGAGATGTTATGGAAGGCAATTTTGTTGCTCTCTTTCTCCTCGTTGGATCTCAACCTCTCCTCAATGCTTTGACTTGGATCCCTGCACAGGGAGGAACATTGGATTCAGTTCCCTTAATAACCCCTTCCAATTATATGCATTTTTGCATTTTGAGCTTAAAGAGCAAAAGCTTCAAGAGGGTCATCGCTACGGAAAATCTTCCTAGTATATATATATATATATATATATATATACTGTAAGATGGGCAGGAAACGAATATATGAAAATTAAAATAAATAAAGCCAGCCATTCATGCCTTTCTCTCCCCCTCCCCCTTTCTAGGGCAGTAGCAGTTCTGACTCTCTGGAAGGACGGAGTTCAGATTATGCTCATAAAAGCTACGATGCGGTGGTGTTTGACGTGCTAAAAGTAACTCCAGAGGAGTTTGCGGTAAGTAAAACGGCCGCTTTTTGATGTGTACCAAATAGTAGTAGCCGTAGTGGCCAAAATAAGTTCCCATTCAGTGGTTAAGGGAATCACTGCAGTTGGTTGTAAAAATGGAGCAAAACTCACGTAGAAACAGAAACAGAAGCTCAATTATGGTCCTAAGTCAATGGAATGGAATGGAATGGAATGGAATGGAATGGAATGGAATGGAATGGAATAGAATAGAATAGAATAGAATAGAATAGAATAGAATAGAATAGAATAGAAAGATAGAGAAGAATGGAATGGAATGGAATAGAATAGAAAGATAGAGAAGAATGGAATGGAATGGGAATGGAATGGAATAGAATAATGAATAGAGATGGAAGGGACCTTGGAGGTCTTCTAGCCCAGCCCCCTGCTCAAAGGGAGTTGAGGACTGCCTGTACAGAGTTCCAAAAATATCGTAATAATTCCTAAATTAAGTAATTTGGCATGCCCTTTGCCTCCTAAGTAGCCATAAATAAAGGGCATCATCAGCTGCATTTGAGGATAGGTGAGGAAAATCAAAATACTGACTGGTGTCAACCCAAGTACCTTATTCAGTGCATCACAACAGCCTGTGAATTTAGATACCCTGGCTGTTTTCTAGACAGGCCCAGAGCGGACTTGCCAGACTTCAGTGTTTTTCCAAAATGTATAATCGTTCTTCCTTTCATTTTTGTCACAGAGTCAGATTACGCTGATGGATATGCCAGTATTTAAAGCTATACAGCCAGAGGTACGTGCCCTTTTAACACAAAATGTTGCTATTGGTAAAGAAGAGCCCTTAGGCTCTTTATTTATTAGATTCTGATTTTTTGAAAAAGAAAGAACAGCAAAGATTTCACTCATATCCTAGCACATTATATTCTGATGGAAGAGAATATTTGTAGCTCCAGGTTGAACGGTGGGATCCTTGGTGCTCTCTAAACTTGGTGGTTTTCTTGCCGTCGTTTCATTACCCAACTAGGTAACATCATCAGTGCTGGAAGGGAGTGGGGTGTGTGGAGTTCAGGAGAAGGAGGAGAGAGAGAGAGGAGGAGGACTGTGTGGTCCTTGGTGCTCTCTGAGCTTGGTGGTTTTCTTGCAAACGTTTCATGACCCAACTAGGTAGCATCAAGATCGGTGATATCATCTGTGCTAAAAAGTAACCGGGTTTGTGGAGAGGAAGAGGAGGAGGAGGGAAGGATTATAGGGTCTGTGGTTCTCTCTGATCTTGGTGGTTTTCCTGCAGATGTTTCATGACCCAACTAGATAACATCCTCAACCTGCAAGGAAGCCACCAAGCTCAGAGAGCGCCAAGGACACCACATTATATTCTTAGGTTTCATGGAAGTCACCCTGCCTTCCATTCTTAATATCGCTGCCCTCACAAGCACTTCTCTGGGGGTGACTTTTCATAAACAGCTCCAAGAATTCCAGTTCTCTCCACGGATCCTACCTGGATGAGAACGTCTCATACCAGTTGGTGAAGGAGGGACCTTGAGGCGTTTTGTGTCAATATCCTTGGTTCTCTTCAGCGAGAAAGCTTCATAACTTCATTGGGTTTGCCTGTGACGTGAAGCATACTTCATTTCCCATGATCTCCAGCCCTGTCGTATCTCTGTCCGATTGTGTTGCGTACAGTAGCTGTGTTGACTTCACTTATAGAATTGCTGGGCTGAAGTGAGCCGGAAAGCAGATGCCACATTTATTTCAACCTTCGGTAGGAGAGCGAGGACTGCATGCCTGTCAAAACATTAGTTATTCAAGCTTCCTAAAATACGCCTTCTATAGGACCCATATGTTTGACCGCTCAACTAAAATTTGGCAGAAGACAAGGGGAAAAAGTGGCAGATGTTGTAATACACAAAGGCTGGTTTTTTTGTTTTTGTTTTTTTTAAATTCACTGAGAAATAGAAGAAATGGTTATTTTTTTCCTTTCTTTCACATTTCTGGTAAATGTAGCCAGAACATTTGATATATAATTGTTTATCTGTAGTTTAATAGGCAACATATGTACTGTGTCCCCAGACTAATTAGGCTGGGGATGATTATGTTGCTCACTTTTCCAGCTGGCTATTTTAAAACTCTGCCTTGAGTAAAAGCTCTAATCTTCTAGGGAGTATAATTCTTGAGATTGGGTTTTCTGTAGTGATAGTCTTGTTGACCAAACCATGTGATCAAGTGTCAGCTAGGTTTGCCAGGAGGAAGACTGAGATTTCTCTGAGCTGGGTTGCTTTCTTGTAGACCTTCCGTGACCCAACTAGGTAACATCATCAGTGCTAGTAGGCGATGGGGTTTTTCCTCTCTGTTTATATTTGAGTGGCTTGCTAGGATCTTTCGTTGGGCTGTTTACTATTGGCAGTTCCTTGATTGGGGTATTGTTTACTTCTTGATTGTTGGCCTGATATTAATCTTGATGTTAATCTATGCTCATCTGGGTGTTGATTGCTGGCAGGGAAATGTTCTGGTCTTTTTGTTCCTTCTTTGGCTTGCTGTTTGTCTCTTTGGCACAGGGCGTAGATACTGTTTATGTCTACATGTCTATTGATGGGCAACTGTCAGAGTGCCAGGCTTCTTTACAATTTGGAATTTGTAAAGTGTGGTGTCTACCAAAAGACTTGCTATGACTTCTTGGAAGAAGAAGCTCCTCGTTCTTGAAAGCCATGGTCTTCACATTAAGTGGTGGCGACCTAACTTTAGCTGAGAAAGAGAGAAGACATGTTCTTAAATGCTCCTGAATAAATGGCTAAGTTAAGGGAGATGACCTCAAGGTAAGCTGTGCAGAATTTATGGAGAATGTTGGGTTGCATCAGCTAAGCTTAGCCACAGAACTACTGTTGATTGAGCCGTTTCCAAGGCTTATCCTCATCTGAATCCATCTGGATTACAATTTGAGGTCCTGGTGTAGTGAAGTGGCTTAGTCCACTCAGAAGATGCTTCCAATGTGATCCTGCTTGCCATGTGTTTGGAGACATTTCCCTAGATTTTACTGTCCTCTTTAGAATAGAATAGAATAGAATAGAATAGAATAGAATAGAATAGAATAGAATAGAATAGAATAGAATAGAATAGAATAGAATAACGAGTAGAATAGAGTAGAGTAGAGTAGAGTAGAGTAGAGTAGAGTAGAGTAGAGTAGAGTAGAGTAGAGTATGGATAGAAAATAGGATAGGATAGAGAATAGAATAGAATAGAATAGAATAGAATAGAATAGAATAGAATAGAATAGAATAGAATAGAATAGCTTTTACTTTTTTTTTACTTTGCCAAGTGTGATTAGACACACAAAGAATTTGTCTCCGGTGCAGAAGCTCTCAGTGTACATGCAGTTACCCCAAAAGTAACATCTGTGTGTGTATTTAGGCACTGAGATAAAAGGACCCTTCCTCTGCTCTTATTCTTCCATTTTCCACCCACCAGCTGCAACAAAATGCCAAACATAAAAGGGAGAAGGGCTCCCGTGTTGTAGCTCAGAATTGGTTATTACTTTTCCACACGACACGCTGTCAGCAAAGGGGCAAAGACGACCGAACATCTGGCTGTGGCTAAAAAACTGAAGTATTGTCATCTTCTTGACCAACAGCCATTTTGCCACTTTCCTTCCCTTTTTCGAAGGATAAGTCAAAATCAGCAGTTTTCACTCAGGCCTTTGACATTTTCTAAGCCGACATTCCAAAGAACATAAAACTATAAAGCTGTTTGGGATGTTTTATGACTTTAATGAGTCCAATATGTGTAAACGTGAAGAGATTTCTCTTTGAACACAAGAAAGCGAACAAATTTGTCAGCGTTTAATTCCGTGAACCCACACTGACTGCGTGTTGGAGACGACCAACTGCGTAATAACGGCTCCTGATTTTTTTCCCCAGCACGAATAGATCCATTTTAACACACCTTGGTTGTGTCGTCGTTTATTCTGAAATAGATTAAGACGGAAATGTTCTAGATTAGCGGTTCTCAACCTTTTCTTCACCACGGGATCTTCTTTAAATACCTTTTGTGGCCATGGACCACCAAGGCTTAACTCAAGATTTAAATCATAACATTTCTTCAAGCCTTCACAGACACACACACACACACACACACGGTTGAGGGCCACGGGACCAGATGGTCCATTTTTAGAACCGAAAAAGGTTTTCCTAGGCTGATTCCATGGGATTTGAAGGAGACAATTTTTGCTTACATAAACTCACACATGTTATTTTAAAATAAACTAATCACCCTCATTGGAAGGAACACAATTGCTGTGATTATTCTTGGATATTTGCTGCTGTTAAAACTGTTGCATTAATCATTGGTAACTCCTGCTATTATTCACGGGAGAGTAATCAGAATAATACACTAAATCTTACTTGGAAAACATAGTCCAACTTCCAAAAAAAATAAATAAATGAGGATGAAACTTCCAAAGAGAACAACATATAGCAGAAGTAATGATCAAAATGCTGTAGAAATGTTTAATATTTCTTACTTTAATTTTATGAGTATCTTTCCACCTTATATGCCGGGAAGCATATCAATATAATACATGATTATGGTTGTTTGCGGAGTCAGCCAGATGTTTAGGCTGGATATGGCATTTTTATCAACATATTATTATTATCATCGTCATCATCCCCAGCACCATTATCTTGGGAAAACTTAGCAGCTTCCTACGTATATTCAGTAAAGCATTTTCCTGCCACTGAAGCTGAGAGTAGAATTATTACCCTGACAGTATCGTAATAAAAACTACAAATCTAATTTCTGTGTCTGTCAGAGGGTTCTCCTTATCTCTATTTCAGAATAAATAAATGTTGGCAAAAGGTAGTTTGCCACTCCGCTCTCATACGAACCCGTAGCAACGGAAAACACATCAGAAGCTTTATAGAGTGAAAAATAGCTGAATGGATTTTACAGATATTATTTCTGTTTACTTTCAGCCTGAGCGCATTCAGACCTCGGCAAATTTATTCTCATTACCCTTGTCTTGTTTAGTGAGTGTTTATATAACAGATATTACAGAGTACAAAAAAGACTACGGTGGGTTAAATAAAAATAAACTCATTTAAGTTGGTCTCCTTGTGGCAGTGAATTGCTTAACTCAGGGAGCGATAGAAGCAATAAATCTCTTTTCTGGTGAGATGTTTTCCTTACAGTAAATAAGAGGGTACACAGCAGAGGCATTGTGTGCAAACTGGGTTAGCAGCAGCATCTATCCTCAAAGCCAGCTTATTTCCAACTGAAGATCGGTTCTGATTGTAAATTATATGTCGGAGGCAGCAGAAGTAGTTGGTCCTTGGCTACCTCAACAAATGTCTGGCCAGAATGATTATACATTTTATTTGTTTCTTGATTTATAAAGCCGTCCATCTCACAGCTGTGTTTCTTGGCCATGTGAGTTTGTTCCTTTGTTCTCCACCTCTGGCTTTCAATTGTGGGTCAGAACGATTCACACAAACACATCCACGTATTCTCTCTCTTAGGTCCAGGCTGTTAATAGACATTTGGGTTCTTTGAAATAAATGGAAAAGCCCATTGTGACTCAACTTTTTAATAAGGTCGGTCAACTTAGGCTCAATCCAATCCAGAGAGGGTGTCTTTTGTGGGGTCCTTGGTGCCCTCTGAGCTTAGTGGATTTCTTGCAGATGTTTCATGACTGACCTAGGTCACATCATCAGGGCTACTATCATTGGTAGCACTGATGATGTCACCTAGTTGGGTAATGAAACGTCTACAAGAAAACCACCAAGCTCAGAGAGCACCAGGGACCCTACCACCCTCCTCCTCCTCTTCCTCTTCCTCTTCCTCCTCCTCCTCCTCCTCCTCCTCCTCCTCCTCCTCCTCCTCCTCCTCTTCCTTAACCCTACTCCATTCTAGCACTGATGATGTTACCTAGCTGGGTCATGAAACGTCTCCATGAAAACCACCAAGGTCAGAGAGCACCAAGGACCCCACAGTTCAATCCTGATCTATAAATATTCTCTTTTAAGTGTTTCTTTTCTTCTAAAAAGTGACTACAGGTTACAGGAAGCAGCCAAATGTTTTGTACACAAGTCCCATTTTGTTCGGATCCTGCAAATTCAGTGCCCTTCCTGTAGTTTGCTTTACCACTGATTCTTCGTTGTCTAATAGGGAGCTGAGCCAAAACAGAACTCGTGTCTGTATTGCAGACATAATTAAACTTAAGTGCCTTTAGCGTCACCGTTTAAATTCCACAGGATGCTGCTAAGGAATTTTTTATTTCCCTTGGTCTATCTGTTGTCTCTGACACTGTCAAATGAAAATACGTTATTTCATTGTTTGGGGTGCAATTTTTTTTATTAACACCATGCCGTTGTATTTTTTTTAAGGAACTTGCAAGCTGTGGATGGAATAAGAAAGAAAAACACATCCTTGCCCCTAATGTTGTTGCCTTTACGAGGAGATTTAATCAGGTAACAGGAATTGTGTGTTGTTTCGAAACACCGATTGAAAATAACGTGGCCCTTCCAACAAAAACCTGGTCTGTTTGTAAGTTTTGTTTTTGTTTTGTTTTTAAAAAGAAAAAAGGAGCATCGATCCAAGGCAATTGCTGACATTCTTGTTGTCAATAAGT